TCAAGATGTGATAAGTGAGAATAGTATTTTCCTTCTCTTTCAGCCCCTCTTAATCTAATGTTCTGTTTTCAACAATTTATGCTAAGCGCATTTCTTTTGAAATTAATTAGTCTGCTGCTTCTGTTGGTAGTCAGCAACTCCGGACACTCTTTTGACAAATGGCAAAACCTACTTGCTGAAATCTCTTATTCATTGAATATAAGGTGACACCAGAACCTGAAGAGGAAATGAATTTATGTTTGTTTCTTTTCACCAGCTTCCCAACTTGATTGGTTTGAGGCGTATTATTGTGTTGTCAGTTATTTTCACTAACTTACTTGGTAACTCAGAAATTGTTTAGTCATTTAAAGAGTTAGCTCAACTTTGCACACACAGGTAGAGGTGATAAACAAGCTGGAAACACCCAACGCTATTGTATTTATGAATTTTAAAATATTTCTTTACTATTTCAGGATTATCTCTCCTGAGAAGGAGATAGTTTGATAATTATTACATGTGAAATTTCATCAAAACAAGAAAAAAAAACATAAACAGTAGAACTGTTCAATAAGAATTGTCTGTGCTTCTTCTACCAGAAACACATTATGCCTCAACACCTATCTTTGAATTTAGGCAACGGGTTTCGTTCTTTCAGCATGCTAGTGTCAAACTTAATGCCCTCTCACATTTCCAACCTTGATACCAGACAGATGTGTGATAATTCCTTTTTGATACAAAATTCATTTCTTGGTTGTACTGCAGGCCAGAGATCTCATTTTGAGGTTGATGGAAGAGAGAGACTCCATTCTTCGAGAAAATGCTAAACTCAGCCGAGACCTGGTATTTGATGTTTCTTTCTTTTTCTTTGGATTAACAGACATTCTTTATATATATTACACATAGTTAGGCATTATTACAAGATACAGGATTCAGACAGACTCTGGAGTCTTCTACTATATATGCAAGCCGGGATTGGTATAGATAACTGAGATGGATCTTTCAAAAGTAGTTCCTAATATGTGTAACTGAAAAGCTTCATTAGCGAACAAGGAGGAACTATCAACAAAAATATGTTACCAAAAAGTTTCTTCTTTGCTCCTTCCTTTGCTAGTAAGTTCGTGAAGCTGTTCTTTCTTTGTAGCAGTTAGTCAGCTGAGGTGCTTGTAGCATCACCGTCAATATCCTGCATTCATCCATAATAGTAGAGTAAATGTCCTTGTTTTTAAGGAGTAGATTAATTTAATTACCTCTAAGGAGTCAATGTTGATCTATCGTAGTTATTTTCCATAGTGATCCTCAATCGATAGAGCAAGGCACAAAGCTCAGTCATGTTGTTAGTAGCTTTTGGAACACCTTTCATGAATCCAAGAACCCAATTTCTGTTGCTATCGCTAAAATCCCTCCCATACCTCCAACTTCTAGATTGCCTAATAAAGAACCGTCCATGTTAAGCTTATAGTGGTTCCTTCTAGCTTTTTCCCAACTAACCGCTATGGGCATATCACTAGTCTAGCTATTTGTTCACAAATGGAATTCCATAGCCCTTGTGCTGACATTTTTATAAGGGAAAATGATTTTTATTATTTATGAGAAGTATTGTGGGACTACACTGGGTATGTTGTTGTGGTGTCATTTCCAGAGCCAAATGTTTGAAAGACAAAAAGGTAACAGCTCTTTTCCAGGTTAGAACCCATTAACAGTCCTGCTTCTATTAGTGATTTTCCAAGTGGACTCCAGAGGCCTGGTCTTTGAAGCTATGATCATGGGAGGAGTTTATGTTAATGCTACTAATCCATATTATTCCAGAAGGAGGCTGCATAGTGCAGCAGTCAAAGTAAATATGTCTTCCCTGTGTTTCTGCATTACTATTTACTGGTCAATGGTTTTTTAGTAAATTGATGTTCCCTTTTTCTGTCTACTAGTTTACAAGTTTCAGATAATTTTATGTGCATGGTGTCATTAATCCCCAGTTATAGTGGTAAACAGGTCCGTTAGCGTACTAGCATTAACCAAATAATCTAAGTTAGTCTTGAAAGGCGAGTTTTAGAGAGAAGGTAGTAACTGTTAGAGACTAGAACTTGTTTTCAGATGTGGACCAAGCTGATTTTAAGAAACATTATTGTGCGTTCAGCAGAAAATAGTTCGCAGACTACTTAATTTTAGTGTGATAACCATAGGCTGGTGATTTGGCCTAAGCTGGGAACTTCATAGCAAACTTGCGCCTTTATCTGTTTTTCTTGCAACAACTGTTTGAATTTAGTAGGTGTGCACAGAGAAATTTTTCCATCTGTTCTGTTGACATTTTGGCTAAGATGATTTTATCATTTGGTTCTGTTTGAAACCATTGTCCAGGAGCTTCTGAGGCATGGACGTCATGAACGTCGTACTGGAGTTCGACTTTTGTACATCTTGCTGGTTGGCTTGGGTAGTATTCTTTTGGGGTTCATTGTCAGAAAAGTTTGATGACCTCACAGCTCGAGATTATACTCTCGCTTTCTGGTTGCTGTGGACAGGTGTGAGGGGTGATTTGAATACTTTCTAAGAGAACTTTTGTACATCTTTTTGAGTCTGAACTGCTTGCTAATTCTAAAGTATATTAGTTGAATATTATTAATGTCTTAGAATGATTGTAACTATAGTTGTGGACTTGTGGTCCTAGCTTTGCTTTTATGAGGCAAATCAAAAGGAAGAAAAGAAGAAAAGTTACATCACAGCTTGAAGCATCACAATGAATATCCATACCTTGGTCTTCATACTCACTGTCATGGGGCCAACCATTCCTACGAATGTGTTCATGCTGAATTATGCAGCGATTGGGTTTTTGTCCCAACACTAAAGGATTTTTCACCCAAATATATGTCAAGATTTCGACTTAACTTCTTTTGACACTCCCTTGTTATCTTCCTTAGTCGCTTTGTTCGAATATCATGAAGTTATAATGTCTGCAGATCCAGAAAATTGTATTTCTGGTCTTTATGGTTTGCCGGGTAAACACTAAACTCTTATGTCGTAACCTTATGTAGAGAGTCAAACTGCTACTAGCATTGATATGGATTTGAAATGTGTGCTGAAATATTTCAGAGATGCATAGGGGAAGAGTACCTTGGGCTTGCGTAGGTATACTCAAGGGATAAGAAAGTTAACTACAAATTTAAGTTAGGTATAATATTGCTTGGACTTTTTAAAAATGTCGACGAGCAGATACTCCAAAAAGGTTCATTTTGGAGAATCACCATTTCCCAAGCATGTGTATAGTTAGAAGGTTCCATTTACAGATAGGAATAAGAAATGCCTAGTTGACTTCTTTTCATTAGCTAGGTTATATTTTCTTTAACATTCCTTCTAACTTTAGATTAAAGTCAACAACTTCTCCTCTTTCTTTAACAGATAGCTTGCTCAATTTACCTTTTAATCTTTTTTTCTCTTGGATTAATAAAATCACCATTTCTCAAGTCTAAATCAAGCTGCCAAAGACGGCTTACATGTAATTTGAGCATCTTAAAACAAACCTTCAATTGTTTCTACCTTGCCTTGTGGATTGACGAGTGCTTTATTATTAATTGGTGTTGCACCTAATAGAGGCAATTTGAGGGTATACACCTCTTTCATTTTCACACAATTTTTTTGGTAAGTGAGATGAGGTAGTTCTTTTGATTTAAAAAGGGATCGTCTTTTTTTAGTCGAAAAACTCTTATTTTTATACTAAAATATAATGTAATCATGTAGGAATTTAATTTGTTGAATACTTGTCAACTTAGACATACATAAACCAAACAAATAATTATCTAATTATAGTAATAAAGCTACATATATAGTCAACTATATTAAATCTTTATGCTCATTTCAAATTACCTAAAAAGGTATATGTTTTATAAAGTAGTCGTTAGATCAGTTATATATATTGCATGAGGTGGTATTGCTAGGTCAAAAATTTGCATGTCCAAAAGATGAGAGTAGCAAAAATAAGGATATTGAGGTGAATTTGTTGGCATATTAGAAGGTATGCAAGTGAAACAGAAATGTTTGAGACAAAGTAGGAGTGACTTCCATACTGAACAAGATGTATGAGGTGTTAGGATTTGCCTCGAATCTTCTACCTTATTTAATTTGAGTTCTACTACAATTGTGCCTTAATTAAAAACAGTCTTCTATGGAAAAAACTTTCTTGAAGAAAAAGACTTTCATGTTTGGTTAATCCTCTCGAAGGATTTTTTTTTAAAAAAATCTTATACATTGAAGATCATTTGTACCTGTAACAACACAATAACATTCACAATATAGTAGTTAAAGAATTTATTTAAGAAGTAATTATTTCTTCTTTATAGCTATATTTTTTTTATACTAATTAGTTTCTTATATGTAGGTTGTTTGGTTAAAATAATATTAATAATAATGATTGTTTTCGTATACTTTTCTTTGTGGTCTAATTTATCACTGTCATGAGTTGCAATTATCAGCTTTCGCATAACATTTTGATTATTTTGACCAAACAAAAGGCAAAACTGAAATGGTTCAAGCATTAAAGAGGAAATGCGTAGATTTCCTAGTGAAAAGGTGTGAGGGGTTGTTATGGTGGTTATGAGAAAAAGGTAGTTGTAAGGCGAAGTAATATTGGGAAGAGGTAATTAGATAGGACATGACATACTTACAAGTTACAGCTTATCGATGACATGAGCTTATCGATGACATGATCTTTACATAGGAGTTGACACCAACACAATAACATTAACAATCAAGAGTTTGAAGAAACTGCCAACACATTTTATGTTCAAACATTAAATACTTTTGCATCCTAAGTTAATTATCTGAAAAAAGAGGTAACACGTGATGTCCTCTGCGATAGAATGTTTAAATTCAGAGAGAAAAGGCTATAAAAATTTGATATTATGGTGATCATTGGGTGTGCTTTCGCTGTTGATAATTCACTAACTAGAACTCCTAATTGAATTTTATTAGGAGGGTACTAAACATATCAGTATCTTGTATTTAGTTTTACAAAAAGAACCAAAAGTATATCAGAATTGCAGAAGAACACTACTAAAATTGCAGCAGATTTACACCAGAACTGCATGAAAGCAGCACCAAAAATGCACCAAAAGTTCTTCAACACAAGACCAGTATTTCACCAGAAAAGTATCAAAATAGCACCAGAAATGCACCAAAACTGCACTAAATTTACTCCAAAAAAGTATCAAAACAGCATTAAAATTACACCAGAACAGCAGCATCAAAATCACCTCTAAAACAACATTAGACTTGCACCAACAAAACCACCAGAAAAGCATCGGAACTGCACCAAAAACTAAACAATAAAAACACCATAATCAGACCCCGAAATTGCACCAAAACAGTAGCACCAAATTCGCACTAAAACAGCACAGTGACAACGGTATCAACGTGCGCCAACTTCATGAACTATGGCACACCAGATCTCGTTCCTGGTGAACCATGTGGCGTTGCTGATGCTGAAGCAGGCAAAATTAGCAGGTGAGACATCAAGGATTACAGGCTAAAAACAAACTAATAAACATGATGATAAATTTATACACATAAATCAGTTAAGAATCACACGGGGAAAATTCACTTAAATTACCAAATTAGATGAGACAAGATTCTGCAATATGTTGTTACAACCTTATACCTTGCATATGTGATTGACAACTGACAAACCTAAAACTATCAAAAGCAAGCCTATTATGCAGTGTCTTCACAAAGCGGATAGATTTTCATGGAGTGGAATTCCTCCTCCGTTCGGATGTTCCCCGGTTTCTATGAAGATCAAATTTGTTACTTGATCTCCGGTGAGCATATTGATTATCGTTAATCTCCACCCTCCTAGGAGATCGAGAGGTTCTTTCGTTGGTTCTGTTGGAACTTCTTCCTGCTGAAGTCTTCCATGAATTTATTGGAAGCTTTCTGTCCCCATATGTTGATCGAGCATCTAGCTCACTATTATTTTCTGCCCTCCAACACGATCTTCTTGATGGCCTTTCCACATCTCTGTTTTGATTTCTCCCCAAGGATGTCCTCGGAGAGGTAGCTGAAGTATTCCTATCATAATCTCTAGTCCTCGGAGAGGTAGCTGAAGTATTCCTATCATAATCTCTAGTCCTCGGAGAGGTAGCTGAAGTATTCCTATCATAACCTCTAGTCCTCGGTGAGGCAGCTGAAGTAGTCCTATCATAATCTCTAGTCCTTGGAGAGGTAGCTAAAGTATTCCTATCATAATCTCTAGTCCTCGAAGAGGTAGCTGAAGTATTCCTATCATAATCTCTAGTCCTTGAGTATAATCTTCGGGTAGGCTTCCTATCATCATCTCTTGTCATTGAGTTTCTATCATCAACTCTTCTCCTCAAGTTTACTCTTTGGCTATGCTTCTCATCTCTACCCTCATTGTCCGTCTCATCATCATGGTAGTCATTATGCACATCATCAGAGTCCTCATCATAGTCTTCATCTTCATCTTCATTATCAACATCAGTTTCCTTTCCATCACCTTCTTTCAGATCATGACTACCTTTTAGCTGCACTTCTTTTGATTTTTTATCCTCCGTAACCTTGTTCATGAGATAAACATACTTAGACCTCAGTTCTATCAACGAGTTCTTCTGAATTAACATTCCCCTTTTATATCCCTCCTTCAGTACCACAGTATGTGTGTCGATCTTACTTGACACATAGAATATCCCAGGATGCAACAACAATGCCCTCTTAAACCTAGAACGAAGTCCCAAATACTCTCCTATCAAAAGCAAATTATCTTTCTCCGCCTTCTTCCCAACACAAAGACTAAGAATTTCATGCAAAATTATCACTGCCCACTTATCAGCTTCATCACTCTTTGCAGGAAGATTCTTTACATTCTCATATGGCGAAATATAAGGCAATTTTTTCCATTCATCAACCCATTTCTTGTACTTCTTATCCATCTCAAACCCATTTGAATACTTCAAATCAAACTTAACTAACAAATCTTCACTTCCACATTTCACTGCTTGTTTTTCCAAAGAGGAGACAGCAAGTTCATGACTCCAACAAACTAATTCCAACATTGACTCATTATTCACCTGAAAATAATCCGGATATTCTGGTACTATAGTTTCCACAAAATTATTACACAAGCCCAAATCCCATTTAAGCTTATCAATAACATGTAAAGGAATTTTATTAGTTTTACCTATCATCAAAATCTTCAAAAGCCTATCTGCAACATCTTCTTTGTAACTTACACTTTGATAGAACAACTCTTCATCTGAATCAATACTGAGAATTTCTGGGGTTAACTTGATATGGGGATGTATGTTTATGCTAGCTGGGAAAAATTCTTGAAAAATTGAAGGGTATTTTCGGATAAACTCAATGGGGCGAGATGGGATTTGTAGAGAATCTTTAGATTGTGTGATGATGTTTAAGGGAATCGATTTCGATGGTTCAGATTTGATAAGATTCTTGATGTTGAGAAGTGGTTTGAGATTCTTTTCTCTTTCAACAGCGTGGTCTAATCCACGATCTCTTACATGTTTGATGGAAAGGGCATCGTCGAACAGTGTCCGCCATTGTTGACGCTGGTGGTGAGTTCGACGGAGGAGGAAATGCATGTACATAGTTTGGAGACTGCTGCTGCTGCTTGCTTGCAAGGGTTTAGCAGAGCTTGTCATTGCTACGCTTGGGGTTTGTAGGGGTATTTTCGGTAATTGCGCAGTTATTTCATTTATGCTCGTAACTTACGCGAAAAGGTTCATAAATATCCCAATTTCACCGTATGGTCTAAAAATATTTAAAATTTTTAAAATTCACAACAATTCAAATCCATCCAAACCCATTATTGACCTTTTTCCGAAGGAAAATTGTATATAATAGCAAATTAATAACCTAAACTAAATGAAATAGCTAAGGTTTGATTTAATTGTGCTCCATAGTAAATATTAATTCAAATTTGCGAGCGTCTCTCTCAAAAATCTCGCTCGCCACTCTCCATTCTCGCTCGTCTCTCTCGCTTTATACACAGAAGTGTATAATTCTGTTTCTGTTTTGTATAAAGCGAGAGAAAATTGTATATACACATGCAAAAATGTATAACTTCGTGTTATACACTTAATTATACAATTTACAAACATTTTACTTCAAATATTGCAGAGAAAAAAGCCAACGAATTATACAATTGCAGTGAAATACAATTTTCTCTAGCTTTATACAACAGAAGTGTATATATTGTGTTTCTGTTTTTGTATAAAGCGAGAAAAACATATATCTTTTTGTTGTACTCTTATAATTATACAATATACATACATTTTAATTCTATTCAACTATATGCAAAACAAATTATACAATTGCAGCGAAATAGGCCAGCGAATTATACAATTTAGGCCAGCGAATTATACAATTGTATATGTATAGCAAATTATACAGTTTTATGTTTGCTATGGAGCGCAATTATGTAAAGTTTGTTATTGCATACAAATATAAATTTTTTATTTGCTATATGTGAAAGTTGCCCTAAAATTAATCTCACATTCTTTTGTTCCTCCAAAATCCATCACCTAATCTTCTTTTTCGTAAGTGAAATTATTAGTTTTTTATCATAAAATTGTATCACAATCACATCTACGTCAAACATTTGAGGATTTTAAGATACTTTCTTCTATATTTAGCTTATAGTAGAGTAAAAGTGATTATCTTGTCATTTTATTTTTTTTGTGTGTGTATTTTTGTAATTGTCCTTTGGATCGAAGGTAAGTGCTTAAGTTGCTGACAAGTTTAGATGGGGGAATTTGGCCAATAGGGTAATTTTTGCTTACTTTGTTGATGGATGCACACGCTGCAATTTTACTATAATCACGATTATCATAATAAGCAAGCAAAAACCAATCTTGACCAAATCCATTATTTTTTAAAGTAGTTAAAAGTGGACTTGTAATATTGTTAATATTAACTAGAAAATCAGAATATATTGATTCGATCGAATATAAACCAAACATTCGATTGAATAATATTCATATGATACAAAAAAGAGTAAATAAAATGAGATGAAAAGTTGAGGCGATACCGAAATTCGACCATGTTATAATGGAGATGAATGATCAACTTAAAAATTAAAGTGAAAATACAGACAATAAGTCAGCAATTGTGAAACGACTTGAAAAGAAGCGATGGGTAAAGGTAAGAAGTAGTATATATTATAAACAAACACTGCCGAATTAATTTTGGAGGAGAAAAAGAATGTTGGATTAATTGGTAGCGAAAATGGGTCACTAATGGATTTTTTTTTCACCCAGAAACTGTCATATATTAATTCATGCTGGAGATAGTAGTATGTCCAAGGAAATTTCAGCATCGTTTACAATCCAAGTTGGGAATTGTCTTTCCCAATAGAATTTCGATAACAGAGAAATTGATAACTTAGCTACGTTGTGAGCTACAACATTAAACCTTCTAGGAATATTTACAAACATGACATGCTCTAGAGATGCACACATATTTCAAATATCTATAGCACCGTTTGCATCAGAGAGGACATAGAACTTCCTCCATCCATGTTGTATCGCCTTTTCCTCACATTTTCTTATTGCACACGCTTCAACAATTCCCAACAAACTGTTTCGGGAATCCATGGGCATGAAACAAATTACCCTTGCTATCCATACCAACCAAATCAATGCTTGCCTTCTTTGATTCAACCTGTAAACCTGCGTCAACAAATAAACATATCCCATCTTCGGAAACTCTTAATAATCGATGGTCAGAAATCTCTTGAAATTTTGCATTTGAAGAATTTGCAGGTACTATGTCAAGATATTCATTATATTCAAATAAAGCATTTTTGTCACTATGTGTGAAGGATCGGTTAATTCATTATTAAAACTCCAAGCATTCTTGGATTTCCACATATGTCACATAATCATTACTGTTAAATTCAAAACACTAGCAGAATTCTGATATTTTTTTTGTCATATTAATCTTATTCTTCCACCACAAAGAAAAGTCAGTGATTTGACAAGATCAGTCCAGTTTATAGGGCTCATTTTTCAAGTTATTTGTGAGTCCCGACACTTGAAAAGCGTGTTTTCCACTATCTCATTTTCTAAATCACATTTTTTACAAACATTATTGACATGATGTAGTCATTTCTTAATAATATTGTTTACAGGTAAGGTATTAAGCACACACCTTTAAAAATGTTTATGTTTATTTTTTTATTTCATCGCTCATAAGACATCCCAAAAGACTTTTGGAAAAGCGTGATTACTAAACTGAGCAATTGATACGCTCAAACTTACTTCTCAAATAAGAAGTAAAGCGATCGTGTCAAGTAAATAACACAACTAATGAGGTTGGGATCGTTCCCACGAGGAAAATAGTTTAGACTTAACTTCAATCTATTATTACTATTGTTCAGTCAATTACTTCCCTGGAAAGCAAAAATGATAAAAAGGAGGGTTTCTATTCCTAAATAAATGAAAATAACTAGCAAATTAAAGGAGACAACTAACAGCTTCGAATGTTGGAGTTTAATCAATTAATCAAAGTAACTAGAATTTACGTGTTCCCCACAGGTTCATAACTTGATAATTCTAACTATAACAATTATTTCCTAGTATTTTGCATGCAAAGTGATAAGTTATGTATTTCTAAATCCTTGGCCCGGCATCTAGAAAATTTCACTCCGCATCTTGGTCCGGCTACGTGTGTTGCTATACTAACCCTTATCTTTACCTCATATTAAGCATCGTATTCGATATTTGACTAAGTTATTACCTCGTACCAATCAATACTAGCCTATTAGATAGTATATACTAAATTTATGTTGATAATCCTTTTCCTATTATCTACCTCCTTGGTCCGGCAAGTAGCATTAAGGCGAGTTCTAACGTTGGTCATCCGTTAAAAAGAACTTCTAAGCGAAAGAATTATCAATACATGCAAGACACTATTCTAGAATTGTTATTTTAGTTAGATTTTACCTCATTATTCGCCTATGGTTCCCACAACCCTAGTTATGGAGTTTAGTTACTCATAGTCATAATCACAATATTCAAATATATGATATAAGAATTCATGCACTTACTTCAATGAGAAAGAGTAAAATCCGAAAGTTCGCTTGATTAATCAACCAAAATCACCAACAATCAATTACTGAAATTAATTGAAGAACAAAGAGTCTAATAAAGAGTCTAAAAATAATCAAGGGTCTAACAAATAATCAAGGGCCTAACCAAATAATCAAGAGTCTAACCTCAAAACCGAGGTTTTTCGAACTATTTATAGAAAATAAAAATCTAATTAAACAAGGACTCTATTTGCTGGAAATCTGTCAAAACGCGGCTGGATCGACGTACCTCGCGACGGATCGTCGTGGTCACGACGGGCCGTCATAGATTCCGTCGTCCCATACTTGTGCAACTCTTCTGCTGCTCTTTTCATTACCCTCGACGGCAGGTATGACGGATCGTTAGAGGCATAACAGTCCGTCGAGGGTCTCCGTTCCAAAACACTTGAACTCTTGGAATATGGGTACTAGGACTACTTCTCTGATCTTCATGACGAACCTGCAGGACGAATCGTCATGTCTACGACGGTCCATCACACTTTCCGTAACCCCACACTTGGTCAGACTTCCCCATCTTCCTTCAACAGCTGCACTACGCTGCCACCTACGGACCGTCACGAGCATGACGGACCGTCACAAGCTCCGTAGGTGGTCTCTTCTGCATTTCTTCGCTCAAAAATCTCCGCATTCATCTTTGGACAGATTTCCTGCAAATAAGGAGAAACTTATATAAAAATTAGCACAAAAAGGCTTTTGGACACACTAAACGTAAGGAAAAAGTATTAATAATACCGTGAAACCACGGTATATGAGCAATATTACCCCTAACATCCCTCATCATGCTTAATTTTTTTGGTAACCTGATTTTAACGCATACGTTCCCAATTTTGTAAAATGTCAAATTACTTTGTCCCTAGAACATGTAGTAGACAAATGGATAGTCAAAATATTATTAATATCATTTAAGCAAAAAAGACTAGTCAATTCATTCATCCTCCAAGTCTGGATTCCTCATTTGTAAGGTCAACCACTTTTAGATCTAAATTTCAGGGTCAAAAGTTCTTTGAGGTTTAAAATCAATGGAATTAGGAATCTATGGGTCCTTCCACACATAAACATTCTCACCGGTAGCTACTCTCCATCTTAGCCCTTTTTCTAATAATTCCCGACCCCAAATTATACTTTTCCAGATTCAAGATGCTGGAGAGGAAGTTGTAGCATTCATGAAAGAAACATTCGAAAAATACTTACTCTTCAAGATTTTCGCTAGAAGTAAGTGTGGATTAAGCAAAATTCTCCAAGCCAATTTTGCCAACATAGCTTTATTAAAAGCCTTCATATCTCTAAAGTCTAGCCCCCCACAAGTTTTTGGTTCACATAGTTTATCCCATCTTTCAAAATAAATTTTTCTCTTCCCGTCACCCTGGCTCTACCAAAAAGTTGAAAGTATGGAAGTTATTTCCTTACATAATTTTTCGGGAAGTTGGAAACAAGATAAGGCATACGTGGGTGCAGCAGTTAACACCACCTTCTTTTCCAGCTAAACTTAAAAATAATCCTTTCCACCCTTTAATTTTTGCTCGCACCCTTTCCTTAATAAAGTCTAACATATTCTTTGTAGATCTTCCTATCAAGTCTATTTGATTTTCTTGGCGTTGTCCCAATATTGAAAAAATATTTTCCTTTTCGGCCTCTAAAGTATTCTTACTGAAATAAACAGCAGATTTATCTATATTAATCACTTGTCCCAAACATTTAGCATATATCTTTAACACATCTAGCACTTTTATCATTGGCCAAACAGAAAATTAAGGAATCATCAACAAAGAGTAAATGTGAAATAGTAGCACCATTTCTATTTAAACTCAAGCCTCGAATCTGAATTTTTTCTTGGCCTTTTTAAGTAGTGTAGATAGACCTTCCGCACAAATCAAAAACAAGTAAGGTGATAATGGGTCACCTTGTCTTAGGCCCCTTGTTGGTTTAATCTCTCCCGCAATTTCTCCATTTATATTGAAACGATATGTTGTAGAAGTGACACATTCCATAATCCAAGCCACAAAAATTTGATCAAAACCCATTTTGAAGAGCATCTCCTTAACAAAGTTCCATTCTACCCTATCGTAGGCTTTAGACATATCAAGTTTCATTACCATAAATTTTTCTTTTCCTCTTCTCTTGTTTTTGAGCAAATGGAGAAATTCATGAGCTAATACAACATTATCAGTAATGTGCCTATTGCCTATAAAGGTCGATTGATTAAGAGAAATTACCATTGGTATGACTTCCTTCATTCTAACCACTAAAACTTTAGCAATTATTTTATATGCGGCAGAGCATAAACTTATAGGTCTAAATTGAGCAACTGATGTAGGAATTTTAACTTTAGGGATCAAAGTAATTAAAGTTTGGCTCCATTCCGGTATTAGGATTCCTGAAGAGAAAAAACTTCTTATTGCCTCACAAATGTCTTTACTAATTAGTTGCCAATATTTTTGAAAAAATAAAGGAGTCATGCCATCAATTTCAGGTGCTTCCAAGGGGTGCATCGAAAAGATGACATTTTGATACCAGCATCCTACACTTCTCTAATAATTCTTCTATTCATAAATTCATTAAGTGAGACCGATACGGAAGAAACAATCTCTTCAAGTCATGTTGACCTAGATGATCTAAATAAGTTCTCATAAATACACTCTATTATCCATATAATGCCTACCGGATCCAAGACCCATTCTCCATTGTCTAATTGAAAACCTTTAATAGAATTTGTTCTTCGCCTCTGGATAGTAGTAATATGAAAAAAGGAGGAATTTTTATCACCTTCTTTTAACCATAGAACTCTAGATTTTTGTTTCCAGAAGATCTCCTCATTTTTATAAGCATGACTTAAACCTCTACGAAGTAGTCTAATTTTATTAAGGTCTATAGTATTTGAGCTTCTCCTAATCTCCTCAATTCTTTTCTTAATTTCTACAATTTATTTACTAGAATTAGCACTACCTCCCTGTAATCACGCAACTAAAGAGTGCTTAAAATTCTTTAATTGTAAGTAAAAATGAGTCTGCTCAAAGTCGTTATAGTCCTGATTCCAAGCTCTCAGAATAATACTTGTTACTTCCTTGTTTTCACACCTTCTTTTATCATAATTAAATCTTTTCTTTTTTCTCCTCGGACTGCTTTCGATAGAAATAATGAGAGCTGCATGATCTGAAGCTTCGGTATCAACATTAACAACATTAGCTTTTTCGAAGTTTTCTCTCCATTTAGGGGATACTAAAGTCCGATCAAGACAGTCTTGCGTCACAACATCATTTCCCTATAACTCCACCAAGTCTTAGGTTTTCCTTTATACACTAAATTAAGAGCTTTCAAGTTCCAAATAAAAATTTTGAAATCAGTAAAGGACCAAGACTCTTTAGTGTGTCCTTCATTTTTTTTTCTGAGTTATCAATTATGTCATTAAAGTCCCCTGTGATAATCCAGGATGTACTCCATTTTCTCGAGTTAGCTACAAGTTCAACAAATTGTCTTCTCCGAGTTATTCTATCAGTACTTATGTATACAAAGATACACGGGAACTCGCAATCAGTGTGTTGATCATAGATTAGAACTTCAATAAAATAATTGGAGGAGAAATAACGAACCTAGATGTCTTCTGACCATAGAACACAAAGTCCACCAGATAGTCCAACAAGATCCACAACCCCTGAATTGGGTAATCCAATTTGCTGCTTCAATCTCTCGATTCTTGTACTTCTATTTTTTGTTTCACACAAAAATAACAGACTTCGAGTGGAGTAGCATTGACTTCTTTATATAGGGAACTGTTAAGGACCCTCAAGGCCTCGACAGTTCCACACCATAATCTGCATTGTGATCAGGGAAGCCATTTAGGGCTGACCTCCCGCTCCACCATGATTTTACTCTTTTTTTTCTCCATATTATTAATGATAGTAGTATCACTTTTTTCGCTTATCTCCTATATTTTGTATGTCTTCCTCATTAATAGTCTTGACAGGATTTTCATTATAAGTCATTAAGTTTTGTCCTTATTAAATCCATCAGGAGTATCAACTAGTCTAGCCATAAGTTTCCAATTTTTCCTTGGTTTTTCTACATTTTTATTAGTATTCATAGATAGAGAAAGATTTATATGATAATCCAAAATTTTAATGCCAAGTGCATGAGAAGAGGACTCAACATAAGGCTCTAAAGCAGTAGTACATACTTGGTCCGCAATTAAGGTCGTCTGGTTTATATCTGCTTGCAGCTCCTTCGTGTTAATTTGTATAGCTTCCTCTATTTCTCTTGGTGTGTTGTTATTTGCTGTTTTATCAAGTTGCGGTTATGTACATACGTCTTTATTTCTCGAGCAATTATCCACACATTGCATTGTGATACCAGTAAACGTTTCTTCTCTCGTTATACACCAATCCTGCTCGTTTTGTTGTTCTTGTGGTCCATAGTTTGTTATCTCCATCGGTTCTATTATGTTTGAGTCTGTTATGATCAAATCATCATAGTCACTAGCGTTTTGACTCACTAGTTCCTTATCGGTTGATTCATTTTGATTCAACCTTCTTTTATAGGAGCTGCAAATTTCTTTCAGTTTCTTCCCCTATTCTCCACTCGATCAGATTAGAGTTATGCTTTCTGACCATAGTATTCATTTTCTTAGTATTATGTCCTCCTTCACGCCGCTAATATCCTGAGGGAATAATATGATTCTCTGCTTTTAGCCACGTACCAAGTTGATCCCTTTTTAGAGTGTCTGATTGTATATCTTTGGCTCTTCGTACACAAGCTCTTTCATTATGCCCGAGCACACCACAACAATAGCAAATATATAGAAGATTTTCATATCGTAGCTCGATTCATATTTGTTCCAATCCTAGTTTGATTAGTTTACCTCTAGGTAGTGGCTTAGTTGTATTCATCATAACCTTGAGTCTCATATACCATCCATCCTTACTTCCATTTTCAGGAATTACAACATCACAGATGCCTCCCAAAGTATTCCCTATTTTACACCCCCACATCCTTTGACATCTTTGCAAAGGGATATTCCATATTTGAATCCACATATTGCATATATCAAACAACGGAGAAACACCTTTCAATCCTAGTTCCCATGGATGAACATTAAGGAGATATTTATCATACACCCAAGGTGTACCTAGTTGTATTTTACTCATAGTTTTCTTGTCTCTAAAAATGAACTGAAATAGTACTGAGTTTCCCCAAGCTAAAGGCATAATCCTTGAAAATTTATTTTTTTATCCGAAATGACCTTACCAAAAAGACTTACTTCGTAATCCTTCGTGCTTGACTGAATATCTGAAATTTCGATTGCCACCGCCTCGTTTTCTTCCTCAGTAAGAATAAATTGTTGAAAGCATTCACTAATGGATTTGGAATATTGTGAATTAAAATGGGGCACCAATTAGAAAATACCACATGGCTTTTTACAAAGTCAAAATTGCCTAAATATTTTTCTATTATTTGAGGGATATGTTTGAAGCTAAACATAAACACCTTAAGGATATTTTTAGAGCAACAAAAACAACTTTAAGGATATGTTTAGAGCAAAAAAAGCGGAAGAGAGGTATTTATAGCCTTTTACGAGTCATTCTCTGATTTAAATAAGAATTTGGTTCGTGCAAAGCATGTGTCAGTTATGTTAGGGTAAAATCAGCAAAGTAGATACGACTCTTCCTTTAGATTTCTCTGATTTGATAGCATAGTAACAAAATCAGTCTTCTCCTCTAGTCTGCCATTGGTACTATTTGGACTTAATCTTGGAGTTCTCTTCTCAAGGTAAAATTTTTGTCGTTATACAATTATAAATTGTTTTGTGGAATGTTTGATTGTATTTTTTCAAATTCTGAATTTGAATTGTATTGTTTTCGTCTCGGTTGCTTTTTTCTTTTTGATTGATGTCGTGCTCTTGAGTATGTTAGTGGGAAACGTATGTGTTAGAGCTTTTGCAGGGGCTGGACGGCGGCGGGGTACAATTTTTTTTAAAAAAAAAATATGCAGGATGCGGTGGGTACGCTGGTTAGGTTTTGGTGAGGAAGTGTGAATAAAGGTGGTGCTGTATGTTTGCCCAGTTTGTTAATTTCCGATCAAATGATTTCTGTTTGTTAGAGCTCAGCATTTTATGTAATGTGACTTCGTTAATTGGTAACACTTTTTGTTATTGAATTTGCAAGCTACATTCTTGTTCATGCCTTACTACTGTAAAATTAGCCTCAAACCAAATTGTTGTTTATGATAATTAATGAATTACAATATGATTTGAAACTTATATTGGCCAAAGTTATTTTTGATTCTGACCAAGAGTGTTATTGTAATCAAAATGTTTATCTTATTACATATGTTCTACCTGTGTTTACCTATTGAATATCAACAAAAGTTTCTTAATTTTACATTTATATCTTCAACTGTATGTCTATCATGAAGAATTGTTGCTGTTACAAGTAGAAAATTGTTTGAGGTTTATGCGGGGCCAAGTTCATCCGAGGATTTATGCAGATTTGCCCCGCACCACCTCATTTGCCATCCCTGCTGCTAGATTTTTGATATGTGTTTGTGCAATATATATGGAAGATCCATTATGATTCACCAGTTCAATAATATATCGTCTATCGTGAGAGATCTGCCTTGTAATAAATTAGTAAATTATTTAACATTGGGAGTTTATTATGCAGTCACAAAACACATTTGTGTTAAAAGGAATCCAAATTTCCCTCAGCACTGCTCATCACTCATCAAACCTGCTGGTCTGTTGGTTTGGCTCTTTTCAACTGTTGTTGATGTTAAAAAACACATTCTTTCTCGTTCTCTCATCAAGGTAAGGTTTTATTTTTGTACATGTATTAATGAATTTGGTTCTATGGTGCATCTTATATCTTTGTTGTTCTCTTTTTCTTCTTTGAGCGTTGTTGTTGGTATACCTAACTAATCGAGTATTCAGGGAGGTTCATGGTTCATGTATGAGTATTATTTATCGGCTTAGTGGTTTCCATTAAACTTTTTTCCGAAAGAGTTCTTTTCTATAACTTAAGCAAGGTGAATGGTCCTTCTATTTCTTTTTGAAAAAAAAGTTAAATTTGGACGGGCTGCTGAACCATTTTTTTTAATTAAAAAAAACCAAATCCACTTTACAAAATACAAAATGGAATCACAACTTTCCAAAAAGAAATCTAAAGAGTCTAAAACTAAAATGGTTAAGTGGACACGGAAGCTCGCTGGAGCTCCTCAATCTGCTGGAACCCATGTCTTTGTACATGTGTGCCTTTATTTTTGTGTATCATAGCTCAAGGGAATTCTAATAACCCACTATCATACAATCAACTATCTTGGTAGATTGTACGAGATAATGGTGTTAATGTGCTAGTCTTCTTTCTTGTTTTAGCTAGTACCATATAGCAGTACTCTAAGGTCCTCTTCGAGTACTATGATCTTGATGCCAAATAGAATCTATCTCGAGGATTATTCAATGGTTAAAATTTCTCAAACATTTGCTCCCACTCTGTCAGAAGTAATTGACAATAAGATGTGTAAATAAATTTTAGCTAGATCTCTTATCTGGACTATGAATTTTGTGTCATAGCCAGATGTTGTTAGTTACATGTTTCTGGTGTCCAGGTGCATACGTACTTCCATATGTTAAAAACATTCAATAGAATGCGCAAAGCTAGTACCACACAAAGAAACTCTTTTCGGTATATAAAGCTTAATGTAATAACCCATATGTCGACCTTCAACCTGGTTCTCTTCTTTGAATAGTCACTGATTCTAAGATTTGGGGGACTTTGACTTGTCAAGATTTTGTTTCTCCTTCCTGCACTAGGCTGTTCGAGGATGAAGTTTAAATTGAATTTCACCTGTTAAATTAATAACCATGTTAACTTCTGTGAATTTTTTCAAATTCCATCATATTGAGTGCAATCACCCCATAGAATACCAAAATGTCAAAAATTAAGATATATATATAACTTTTGAATAAATGTACTGGTAAATATATTTGTACCACAACAGTCATCGGATGAAGATTGTGCTTTAGCTATCTGATACAGGAGTAACCAAAAAATATTAAGAGCTTATTTACGAGTTAGTGTAGCGTACATGGAGTCAGCTTTTGACAATTTTGTCATATTATTCTAACTAAAGAGGCTCCCAACTGGATAAACTCTTCTGAGTATGAACTGTACCTACGCTTGCAAACATTATTCTGATTGCTTCACTAAGGTCAATATGGTACTACATGGGCTATTTAAGTGAGATACAGAATATGATTTGTTTTCTTAAGAAATGTCGAGCTTAAATATAATATGATCTTATGTGACTTCTAGTTGATCAGTAAACATTGTGTGTGACTGTCAATTTCATAGAAACCATAAATGCATGTTTTGGCCTACATGAGTTACTTCAAACGATTTGAGGCAGGTGTTGGTATAATTTGAATCATGTGTGTTCGTTGAGAATGTTTTGGTTATGACATGTGAAATAGGGTTTATGTTATCACCTAGAGCCATATGTTGAATACTAATGCTAACTTGCATCACCTATGTGAAAATAGACATAAACAAATATGTTTGCTGCTAGTTGGAATGTGAACTGAGTGCCTTCATTTAAGTGCTCGGTGATGCTGATGCTCAATTGTTATGTTTCTTGCGACAGCTTTTGTGAAATGAATCTAATATGTGCTGTTTCAAGGCTGTTGATTGTGGCATTGTGAAGTGTTCCTAAAAGGCTTATCAACTCCTCCATCTCCCAGTCTTGTATGTTTCTTTTGAGGTTGAGGCTTCTTGAGTTTCCACCCTGTGTTGGTGTATTTTATTGCCTGGTTGATTTGCAATCTGGAATATCTTAGGGTAGGCAACCTCTAGAAGGGTGTTCCCCGACCACTTATATCTACAGAAATAGATGTGTTGGCCATTCCCCACAACCAGGTCTTTGTGTTGTGAGAACATCTCTCATAGCTTGCTTATGCTTTTCCAGCTGCCAACCCTATATGGTTCAGTTGAGACTTTAGAGAACCAGTGACTAGGTGCTCCATGTTTGTCAATAATGACTTCTTCTCATAGGCACTGATCCAGCTGAGTGTATCTCCATAGCCACTTCCTTAGTATCTCCAAGAAAGTTCACCTACATTTCTTCAATAATTCAAAAGAATAGAGCTCTTGCCACAATTTAATCTGAAACTCCAGGGACCAGATCGAAGCTTGGAAATTTAGGCTCCTATCCTAGTTCAGCACGAGTCGAGGAATCAATGATTACTCTAGCATGATCATCGAAACCAATTGCTAAAGGATTTCGAAAGAAGTCAGTTATTAGTAAACCCTCTTAACTTTTTCTCAAACTTCCCACTTTTATTGACCAAGTCCAACCTAAAAATTACCTGATTTTGCTGGGTTTATTTCTTAAGAGGATGCATCTCTTGCGTTGGTGATTTGTCCTATTATCAAATGATTTCTAGTTTGATATTCATGTGTTGACCTGTTGTTCAGATGACTTAGTTGCAAAAGTGTACTCTTAATGTTTCAACGTAAAAGGCACCCTAGATGTGTTCACAGTTTCTTCAAACTCTTGATTGTTAACTTAGCACCGTGTTATTGTGATGGTGATTGAGCAAATTATATTTATATCTTTATTACATTCTTACTTGCCTTCTGTTTATCGGATTCTTTTGTCCTTTGTACGCTACAGTTAGTTATTTCCTGTGAAGTTTATTAGTTATTTCCTGTGAAGTTTATATCTGATGGACTTTTAGTTTATATAAAGATATGTTGTGATTGCTGTGTTTGGAAATGGAGTGCTAACTTTTCTGCTTAATCTCATTCTTATCAGTTAAATCAATATCAATTTTGGATGCATGACCTTTTGCATCCCTCTCCTGATTAGTTGAAGTCAAGATTATACTGAACTTTTAGCTTGTTGTAATTCACTTATAGTTGTGGGCTGGTAAAGTAGTTGCTTGACTCTCGTTCAGCTTATTCTAGCTCAGTATGGCCATAAAGTTTAGGTTGTAACTTGATCATGAGCGAATCTGTTGATGTTCCTTATTGTAAAGGTTAGGATGTCTTTCTGTTTTCTGTAGTACACTACAGTCACTAAAAGCATTGATATATACACAGTGAATATGTCATTTTGTGAATGACATTCTACTCATTTGTAAAGAAGAAGCATGTAATCTTGTTGTGGTCTTTAATGTATATATATTCAAAGAAACTACATTAGTGTGAAGTTAGAAATGTTGTGAAGAGAGTGTAGAAGTTTTTTTTTCCGATTGTGTTAAGGGCGAGTAAAAACAAATATACATTTATAATATTGACTATTTAACCTGTGTATGTTACCTAATTTTTCAACAAAGGGTGTACACCGGACTATCCCTCACCTAAGGTGGCTCCGCCAATGAGTACCAATTAAATCATGATTTAAATACCTCTTAGACACAAATCCTCAAATAAAATACACTATCCTCCTTTTTTTCCCACTTCTTGACAACCAATAAAAAAAGGCTAATTTTATTATATTACTTTGACTTATTATAAGTTATCTCACTCATTGAAAAATGAAAAGTAAATTGAAAATGATTAGTACTAGTACTTAAAAATAAGAGTAAAATAGATATAAAGCAATAAAAAAATGGTTTTTAAATTTGACAAATGAATATGAAATTTTGTTGCTATGATGACTATTTGGTTTATGATTTTTAGCTTTGATATTGTCTTCAAGTTGATTGCAAGACTCCAATTCATTTAAAACCTTTATTTTTTGTGAGGGATGATATAATGCAATTATATCACAGTAAAATGAACCATTTTATTATAAAGTTTTTGCAATTTGCATAAGTGTGAAATATACCATTTATTTATGAGTGAAGTGAACCATAACTCCGTCATCTTTCTAACTTTTGGTTCTCTGACAGTTGATCATCTTATCATCTTAACTTTTAATATTGCTGCAGCTAGCTGCTCTATCTTGTTCTGGTTGAGTAACGTTGATAAAAACTACTAGCAAATAGCCAAATATGATTGACACATGCTGTTTTGGAGTTAAACATGTTTTAATATTTTTGCCGATAGGAGTGGCTTTTTCATTCCCTCTTTAATAAACTCTTTCAAGTTATTCTCGATGGGTTGCAGCTAACTCAGTTATAACTCTTCTTTTCCGGAAACTTGTTTTTATACATGGTGACTTCTTTTATGAACTGTCCAGCTGCTCCTAGGCATGATCTCATGTCCACACAAAAGGTTTGCACCATTGCTACACACACCCGGTCAGCAACTCCAAAGGAGGAGTGTTGAGGTTTATTGACTTTTGTTTTTGATTAGTAATTGTCCAGGCCAAAAGCCAATCAAGTGAATATAGTGCAGTTTAAGTAAATGTTTTATTCTTTGCTCTGGGTTAAAGATTTCTTAGAGGATGGATCTCCTTGCATTGGTGATTTGTCCTATTGTCAGATGATTTCTAGTTTGATATTCATGTGTTGACCTCTTGTTCAGATAACTTGGTTGCAAAAGTATATTCAATGTTTGGACATAAAAGGCATCCTAAATGTGTTGGCAGTTTCTTTGAACTCTTGATTGTTAATGTAGCACCATGTTATTGTGTTGGTGATTGGACGAATTATATTCAACCTTTATCACATTTTTACTTGCCTTCTGTTTGTCATTTTCTTTTTTTTCCTTTGTACCCTACAGTTAGTTATTTCCTGTCAAGTAAAACATCTGATGGACTTTTTGTTATATATGGGATGTGTTGTGATTGATGTGTTTGGAAATGGAGTGCTTACTTTTCTGATTTATCTCATTTTTATCAGTTAAATCAATGTCAATTTTGGATGCATGACCTTTTGCATCCTCTCACTTGAATAGTTGAGCATAAGATTTTACTGAACTTTATGCTTGTAATTCTTTTCACTTTTAGTTTGTGGGTTGGGAAAGTAGTTGCTTCACTCTCGTTCAGCTTATTCTAGCTTAGTATGGCCATAAAGTTTAGGTTGTAATTTGATCATGAGCGAATTTGTTGATGTTTCCCCATTGTAAGGGTGATGCCCTACACGTCATGGAAAAATCGTGCTTTTTATCTTTAGTTATTAGCATCCCATGAAGTATGGAAAAAATGATTCTTCTTTCTAGCACTTTCAGATTGATAATCTTGCTACAACAAGTCAGGCTTAGGATGTTTAGGTCTCTCTTAGCTTGAAGGTGTATGGTAGATGTTCACCATATATAGTTGTATACTTTTTTCTGACCATTGTATAAACATAGCGGGAGAGAGAGTGTAATGTGGTGGTTTAATTTAGCATCACATCTTAAGTTTGTCTGCTAACCTTTTAGCAAATTGATGACAAAGCTTAAAGGACAACTCTAATCTTATTTTGTGTAACAACACTCAAATGAATTAGATAGTTGTTCTTGAGCAATGAGCATCATGCATAGGCAAAAGGAAAGAGGCAAAGCCCCCATCTTCTACATATCTTGCTCATCTGACTATCATGAATAACAAACCTGCATTCCGGCATCTAAGTGATAAACTTTATGCTTCTAAAGCCCTTTAGTCATGCCATTTCCCTAACAAGTAAATATCATCTCAGCTGACCAGTTAAACCCACCCATCTACTTAAGAAAGATGAAAAAACAAACAAGAAGTCGAACCTTGTTTCGAGTTCGTTGACGTGGTACACCTTGTCTATTATGCTTATAATTATGTACAGAAGAGGATATATTCTTCAGATTGTGAATCCTTTTGCATCAACTTGAGTTTTTTGTAGCAGAAAGGAGGTGGATTTGGAAAGGCACTCAAATAGAGTGAAGGGGATCAACATTGTCCTTTATCTGTGAGTTAACACTGGGGTATGAGATATCACTGGAGAAATGAACTCAGAATTCAAACAAAATGCTATTTCAAATCATTTAGCTTTTATAAGTATACATATATGAGGTATCAAAAAACATAAACCAAACTGGCGTGAAACTTTTAGTAATTAACATGATGATGCAATCCTAATCTGCTCGTCCCCACAAGCTAGGATTCACTTATAGAATCAAATAGTTGAGCCATTTCGGACACATTTTGGAGAAAAAGCTCAAAGAGGTAATAAATCTCTACATACCTCAGTACTCTTCCCAAATTTAATTCCAACTTCCCAAAGCCACTAACGATAAATCTAATTTGTATCAAGAGTAGTTCATTTAAACTCAACATAGTCTATTTAGGGCTTAAACTTAGACTACCAAGCCCAAAATACTACTGAAGGTGCTTAATCACCCTATTAAATTCATCCGTCCTTGGCATTCAATAGTCTATTGGAGTCTTTATAACCCAATATTTATTTAAATAGACATGGAAAGCAGATGTAGTGTGTCTTCGTGAAACAAAGATACCGGGGGATATTACAAAGATACTGAAGGAAGTTGGACAGACCAGTTGCGCAAGATACTCATTTATTTGTGAAGGACTAAGTGGTGAGGCCAGGGAACATAAAAGGATTGCTAAACTGTTGAAAAAGGGATGACAATGCAACCAAAAAGGAAGGAAGATGGAAGATTGTCTCTGCATGCTTTTTGTGGACAATGTAGAAAGAAAGGAATAAGAGATGTTTTGAAGACAAGCAGAGCAACTTGCAGGAGTTCAAAATGAATTGTTTGGCTCTGTTTTATTTTTGGTGTAAACAGAAATTAATAGCTCAAATAAAAGATACTTTTGACATTTCAAGGAACAACAGATTGATGCTTAAGTTGTAAGTTGTAATACTTTTGAAGGGGGACTACATATTTTGATGTAGCGATACCTGTGGATATATAGATTAACTGTTACCGTTCTTAAAAAAAAATACAAGTTCACTACTTAGTGTCTTCCCCAATAACATACATTAATGGCAACCTAGGGTTTCATTTAATACCTTTATCCTACCACTTTCAACACGTATAAATAGCATTTAACCACTTACTTTGTATTCATTGAATAAGTAAGTTTCAAGAGGTAGAAATTACCTTTGGTTGCAAAACCTACTCAATTTCCTTTTTGAGTTCTTGAATGTGTGACTGGTATTAGCGTTAATCTACTTTATTCAACACAAAATATGGTAACAATCTCACCTTGGATATCCTAAGTGAAACCTTGGCCGAGCCCCGCCCCTCTAGTTCTCCTAACACGCCCAAATATTGAAATTTGAAAATGGCAAAAAACTCATGATCTAGTGTATATATAGAGACCGAACCTCTCGCAGTTGGACTCGGATGTGAGCCCATCGTCGAGTCTTTTTCTTCAGTTATCAGGCTTTTTTTGGTGCAAACTTATTCGGTGAAACTTGTCCTGGCTTAGCTTCTCTTGCAATGAGCGTGTCTTGGAGCATAAAACCATTGTGGCTTTCCTCAATCTCCCTCCCAAGCCTTGTCATGGCTCTTTGGGCATGAACCTACCTGGGAGTGGAACCTTGTTCCATTTTCCAAGCCTTGTCACCTCTTCGTAAAGGGCTTGTTGGCAAGGAAAAGTATGTCTTAAAATCTTGATGATGACATTGAAGCGCACACGAAGTGAGGCAAAGCGCTCAACATACTTTGAGCCTCTCTATAGCGCTTAAGCGCGCCTTTGACAAAATTGTTCAGGATGCTACCCAAAAGATGGCCTTATAGAGCTTTTTCCATATTTTTCCGTTGGCAATGAGGGAAAAGTGTAGAATGAACTATAGGCAATAGTTAGAGCAGTCAACTGGTTTAATTTGTTGTTTTCTATTCAATCATAGCGCAGAAGTTTTGGTGGCGACAACCAGGGAAATATCTCAACCAGGTGTAGGGAGTTTATACAAGTCGGAGCCTAAAAGGCAAGAAAATTTGCCAAAAATTCTAAAAAGAAAACAAAAATGAGGTGATTGCCAAAAGGCAACATTTGAACGGTCTAACAAACACCGTCTAAATTAGGAAAAATGAGCAAGGTGCGGAGTATGGCGCGCCTTATAAGGCGCATGGTTGCGCAGCCTTACAAGGCGCAAGGCTCCCGCGCCTCTTTCCGTTTGTTTTCTTGTTTTTAGTTCATGTTTAATGTTTTGTTTTTAGTTAGTTTTCTCTTCTTTTTTTTTGTCTTTTTTGTTTTTACTTTTCATTTTTGTTTATTTTTATTTTGAAGTTATTCCCATTTATTTTGAATGTGATTTTTTTTATTTTAGCAAATTATTCAAAAGAAAAAACAAAAATTAAAAGGAAAAACCAAAAATATATATTTTATAGTAATATTTTTAAAAAATGGCTAGATTTTGATATTTTTCAAACTTGAATTAATAAAATTTTACCTAAATAATTGATTAATTTGCTATAAAAAAATATAAATATCACATGCAAAATAAATAGGAACAACTTCAAAATAGAAAACAAAAATTAAAAGGAAAAACTAAAAAAAAAGGAACTTAACTAAAAGCAAAACATTACAACATAAACTTAAAAAAAGGAAGGAAAGAGGCACATGAGCCTTGAGCCTTGCAAGGCGCATCGTACTTTGCGCCTTGCTCCTTTTTTCCTAATTTAGACGGTGTTTATTAGACCGTTTAAATGTTTCCCTTGTGGCTCCGGACTCGAGTTTATACTGATCCGCTATATTGCTCGGACTCTCCAAAAATGGTGTCGCATCTGTTTCAGGACTTCCAAAAGTGCAGTACTTTTGGAGGATTCAACATGCATCCAGCAACATTTTTGAAAAGTCTGAGCCTTGAGCCTTGCAAGGCGCATCGTACTTCGCGCCTTGCTCCTTTTTTCCTAATTTAGACGGTGTTTGTTAGACCGTCTAAATGTTGCCCTTTTGGCTCCGGACTCGAGTTTTTACTGATCCACTATGTTGTTGGGACTCTCCAAAAATGGTGTTGCACCTGTTTTCTAACTTCCAAAAGTGCAGTTCTTTTGGAGGACTCAACATGCATCCGGCAGCATTTTTGAAAAGTCCGAGAAACATAGCTAATCAATTCATTCTTTTTCATGTATTTGGCTGAAGATGCTTGCTTACTCCTTATTCTGTTTACTTTTAGGTTTAGTCAACCATAGTGTTTGATCCTTCTGTTTTTAGTTCTTTTTACAATAATGAATAAACTGACATTGTTTTAGACGTAGACTTCATGAGTAATAAGTAGTTTTAAAGCTCACCCCCTTTCAGAATCTTTTCCTTTCTGACCACCCATTTAATATTAGGAACCATTTTGTCTGGGTGATATAAATCTGGTTATGAGGATGAGACTTGAGAGCTTATTACTTGATTGCTTTAATGATACTCCTTAATCACTGGTTACTTTGTGCTTCACAAAATTAATTTTTTTCATGCAACTACCTAAGAAAATGATTTAACACATGTTGATTATGGAAGGTTAATTTAAGTGACAGATTAAGAATGATGTTAGGTTTTATAGAGACTAGCATCTGTGAGTTTTTTCTCCGTTGTAGTTTTTGATCTTTTTCTTTTTCGTTTGTGTAGGAGATACCATTGCAATTTTATGGGCAGAGTTGAAAAGTCAAAGGAAACATGTCAACAATTTGAAAAAGAATTCCCTCTGGTCCAAGATATTAGAAGAGGTAGCAAGTCAGTGATGTTTTATATATCTCTTTAATTCTTGAACTTACATAATCGTAATTCGATTCCTATTTCTCAGTGGACCCGTTAATGATACATATTCTTAGCATGATATGGTTAGGCTGTTATAGATTTATTAATCAAATTTCTTTGAATAGTATACCAACTAGTTTACTCGTTACTGAAGGTAACAGTGAAACTTGTGGACATTGTGCATTTCCTTCATTTGGAAATCCATGCTGCATTTGGCTGTGCTGGTATGCATTTGAACCTTCAATTTAACTTCTCTTATGGTGATTTTTTACTGTCATGTAGGGGCTGGTTGGAGGAGTGATTGTTCTTAATTTGATATTTCTGTTACTTTCTTAACTAATGTTTGCATTCAAGTTTTTGTTCTGTGTTTTCAGAGATCCTCTTTTTTTTTTAAATTGAACTTTTATGTTGAATTATTAAAAAACATGAAAAAACTAGCGCAGCAACCATTCAATTTTCCATGAATATTGCATGGAGAGTCTATTCTCACTCACAGGAAAAAACATCAAGTCTAGTCACAGTGAGGTAGTTTAACTTACCAACCAACCGACCACCTATATCTTGCAGGATCACTAAGGAGCTACCCCTATCTTTGTAGAAGGTTACCATTTGGATCCATAGGAGTGTCGATAGGTCTATAACCTGTCATTCCTGTCCCCTAAGTATATCTAGAACATGTCATTCCTGTCTCCACAAGTATCTCTAGATCTATAACCTGTCATTCCTGTCTCCTAAGTATATCTAGAACATGTCATTCCTGTCTCCACAAGTATCTCTAGATCATACTTCCGTTGTGAAATGGTAAATACCTGATACAAAATAAGTGACCTCAATACCAAGAAAATATAGTAATTCCCTAGATCATTAGTCTGAAAGTGCTAATAGAGATTCTGCTTCGATTTAGTGATGCAATCTTGTTCATTGCATGTGATGACTATATTGTCAACATAAACCACCAAGTAAATGCAAAAATTCGGGTCAGAATGCTGGTATAAGAGAAAATGGTCAGCTTTACTGTAAGTTATGCCAAACTCCTGAATAACTATGCAAAACTTACTACACCAGGCTCGAGAAAACTGTTTCAGACCATAGAGTCACCGCAAACTTCATAAATATTTGTCTAATCTTGACTTTGATGTAACAACCTCTTAACTTATTCTTGTGAATTCAGTTTCATTGTAAGTTATGCCAAACTTCTGAATCACTATGCAAAACTTACTATGCCAGGCTCGAGGAAACTCTTTCAGATCGTAGAGTGACCGTAAACTTACCAAATATTTGTCTAATCTTGATTTTGATGTAACATCTTATCAAGCTTTCTGTTGACAACAAATGGTTTCCTGTTGTTGAAGCATGTCTAGTGGTCAGGGGAGATTCCTTGATCTTGGATAAATTTTTGGGTAATCTGCTACTAGTTATTCGAACAACAATACTAGTGTTCGCAGGCTACTCTTATTGCTCAATACTTGTCTATGATGTTACAGTTATTCTGATTGTACAACTTGTGAGCTGTTTCATTGGTCCCATTTGTAATGGTATGTTTGGAATCATTTTGGGGGACAGAAACTCATGAGAAACACTTGCGGACTTCTTTTGTTGAATCATCATCATCTTAAATTTTTGTTTTGATTTTGCACAATGTATCAAGTTAATTGTTATCTTGACTAGACTGCACATGGTTTAGTGACTAGTCTGGAAAGTTTGTGGTATCATGATTACCATAGTGTTTTTGATCCTTGCAGATAGAGAGAGATCTATGAAAAACAACAACAGAGGTTGGGATCTGCTGCTCTTGCATTGCATTATGTGAATATCATCACTCAGATTGATACACTTGTAGCATCTCATGCTTGTTTTCAAAAAGTCAACTATTATCTTCAGTAGTCTTGCTCCAAGTATTTTTCCCTTACTTCCATCTATAACCCACTTTTTGTCTCTACTAGTAGTGTGACGCTGTGGTCTCTATTAGTAGTGTGATATCCAGTAAGCTAAAACACCTTTTTGGTGATCAAATCAACAATTCTCATCGTTTATGTTTGTGTGCTCTCATACAATTATCATCTTTGATCTCAAATTATATGCTCTAAATTGTTCTTCAAAGACTCCCCTAAAATATGTGGAACTCATCAATTCGCTATTGAATTTGTGAATAATTTCAAACCTTTGCTTGAGGCTGAAATTAATTTCTGCTAAGCTCTAAATATTTGCTGATATACTAATGTGCAATTGAGCCTTTTTATTTTTTTAAAAAAACTTTTTATTAGTGATCCATTTTAAAATTCCCTCTTAACTTTACTCGAACTCCTTCAGTTTATTGCCTCTTAACACTTTGGGACATGTACCAAATGCACTTATTTCACTTGCTTGAGCCTCATTTTGATTCCTTTGATGATCGGAGGTGGACCAACGTGGAAGGGTGGGGGTGCTCGTCACCTGTTAGCTTCGAAAAAAATTATGTGTATATATGTATATATACCAAGCAAGATAGTATATATATTTAATTTGCGTACTAGCATGCAAAAGAAGGCTCATTGCATGTTGGTTGCATCCTACTTCCCTTACCTGTGACACTAGATCGAATCTCAATTCTCACTTTTAGTTGTTTTTTAAAAAATAAATTAAATGGCTTATAATAGCCATGGAAAACAGTATTCGCAAATATGAGAGTTGAGAATCGAAGCTGCAACAGTTTCTGAAGTTTTTTCTTCAAAGTATGTACTCCTAAAAACTCTGCAGAAGTTTATACAAAAGATTTTTAGGATAATAACAGAACAAAGTATTTGGTTTGTGGAGCTGATGAAGGCATATAGTTGATCAGCTGACAACAAGAGCTAGTTTTATTTAAAAGTGAAGAGGAACACTATGGTGATGGAGTAATGTATGGATGGTCCAACTAGGTGATCGTTCTTGGACTTAACTATCCACTTTTGTTGTAGAGAATTAGGAGAAGATGAGTGGAGTACTCTTGGGACGATATGAATCTCTGAACTGACTCGTAAAGATACTCTTTGGTATGGTCTCTTTTTACGATACAAATGGGGACTTCTAACGGATTGTAGTTTTCGAAATTTTGTTAGTATGTAAAACAGCTTGGAAGATATTTTCATTGGGAATATTCCAGTGCAGTTGGAATAATCGTCAATCATTGTAACACAGTAATGAACTTAGACTAGAACTTACAGATTTGGTCCAATGTAATCATGGTGGACAAGTTCTAAAAGGGATGAGAATTTACTATTGTTTGTTTTGGGAAGACGTACATTTTTGTTTTCCAAATTGATACGAGTCGCAAACTAGTGTTGTTATGGAGGAAAATCAGAAATTATATGTCGAAGTTAAGAGAATGAGGATGACCAGTAGTAATGCAGTGAAATGAGCCCTCTCACAGATAGAAAATGTTTCTTGACTTGCATCCCCTATGCAATTGTTTGTCCTGTAACATGATCCTACAGGAATTGAGTCAGTCCGCTGATAATAATAAAGCTAAATGGGCATTCAGAAACTTGTAGGGCGTAGTTAAGAGTCAGGGATGGAGTATTGAGAACTTGACCATGGTTTTGGTGCCAAAAGTAGGATAATTTTGAGTGAAAAAAATATCAAATATAAGAGAATAAATGTATACTACTTGCCAGTGCTGATATTCTTATATAAAAAATTCATGCCTTAGAGACAGAATGTTTGAGGAACATCACTGAGTTGTGGGTATGTGTGAAAGAGACATAGATGAATCATTAAGTGAGTTATATTTCAAGAATTCGTCATGTTTGTCACTAGTTCCACTGTTGACTGAAGTACAAAATCCTGAAGGTGCTTTCTGAATTTTGCTTTCCATTGCCATTAATGATCAGAAAAGGAGAACTGGTCTTTAATTGACATTTTAAAATCATACCAGATTAGCTAATTGTTGAATAAGAACTGTCTATACTTGATTATTCTACCAGAAACACATTATGCCTCAACATTTATCTTTGGATTTGGGAAGTGATAGGCAACGGGTTTCGTTCTTTCAGCATACCATTGTCAAACTTAATGTTCTCTCACATTTCCGACCTTGATACCAGATAGATGTCTGATAATCTCTTTTTGATACAAAAGTTATTTCTTGGTTGTAATGCAGGCCAGAGATCTCATTTTGAGGTTTATGGAAGAGAGAGATTCCACTTCGACAAAATGCCATGCTCAACTGAGACCTGGTATCTGATGTTTCTTTCTTTTTGTTTGGATTAATAGACAGTTCTCTATATATATTAAACATAGTTAGGCATCAATTCAAAATACAGGGTTCAGACAGACTCTGGAGTCTTTTACTATATATATATATATATAAAGCCGGGATTGGAATAGATAACGGGGATGGGTCTTTTAAAAGGAGTTCCTAATATGTGTAACTGAAAAAGCATCATAGGCTTATATGTGTTGGACAATATGGAAAGAGAGGAATTCTAGATGTTTCAAAAATAGGAGCAACTCTATCCAACAGATGAAGATGAATTATACTTTGCTCTTTATTTTTTGGTGTAGATAGTCTCTTTCTGTAGAAATTGGGGAAATTCTAGATGTATTAAGCTCCCTATAAAAGAGAATAGCTCCAGTTTCTTTAGAGTCTTTTGATGTAAATATGGTGCAAGTACAATTAATGTACTGAATGATCTTAACATTGATAGAAATACACAAAGTTACCAATTTCAAAAAAAAAGCATCGTAGGCGAATGAGGAGGAACTATAAACAAAAATGTGTTACCAAAAAGTTTCTTCTTTGCCTTTTCCTTAGCTAGCAAGTCCATGACGTGGTTCTGTTCTTTGTAGCAGTGAGTCAGGCAGGTGCTTGCAGCATCACCGTCAATAACCTGCATTCATCCATTATAGTAGAGTAAGGTCTTTGTTTTTAAGGAGTAGACTAATTACCTCTATGGAGTCAATTTTAGATTTATCGCGACATGTACTTATTTTCCACAATGATCCTCAATCTATAGACCAAGGCACAAAGTTCAATCATGTTGTTAGTAGCTTTTAGAGCACCTTTCATGAATCCAAGAACCCAATTGCTGCTGCTTTCATTTTAAAACCCATCCCATACCTCCAACTTCTAGATTACCTAATGAAGATTTTGTCCATGTTAAGCTTCTAGATATTTCCCAACTAACCGCAATGGGCATATCACTAGTCTGGCTATTTGTTCACAAATGGAATTCCATAGCCCTTGGGCTGACATTTTTTATAAGGGAAAATGATTTATATTATTTTTGAAAAGTATTGTGGGACTACACTGGTATGTTGTTGTGGTAGTGTCATTTCCAATGAGCCATATTCCAAAGATAAAAAGTTAACATGTCTTTCCAGGTTATAAACCAATTAACAGTCCTGCTGCTATTAATGATATTCCAAGTGAACCCGAGAGGCCTGGTCTTTGAAGCAATAGTTATGGGAGAAGTTTATGTTAATGCTACTAGCATTCGTATTATTCCAGAAGGAGACTGCGTTAGGGCGTCAATCAAAGAAAATGTGTCTTCCCTGTGTTTCTGCATCATTGGTCAATGGTTTTTAAGTAAATTGATGTTTTCTTCTTTTGTCTAGTAGTTTAAAAGTTCCAGATAATTTGATGTGCACGGTAGCTTGAAGGTCATTAATTCCCAGTTATAGCAGTAAACAGGTCCATTAGAAGGTGGTAACTGTTAGAGACTAGAATGTATTTTCAGAATGTGGACCAAGTTGACTTAAAGAAACTTTATAGTGCAATCAGTAGAAAATAGTTCATAGACTACTTAGTTTTAGTGTGATAACCATAAGTCGGTGATTTGGCCTAAGCTGGGAACTTCATAGCAAACTTGGGCCCTGTATCTGGAGTTTCTTGTAACAACTGTTTGAATTTAGTAGGTGTGCACAAAGAAAATTTTCCATCTTTGTTTTGACAATTTTGCTAAGATGGTTTCATCATTTGCTTCTGTTTGAAACCATTGTCTAGGAGCTTCTTACCATGAATGTCACGAACGTCGTACTGGAGTTCATCTTTTATACATCTTGCTAATTAGCTTGGCTGGTATTCTTTTGTGTTTCGTCGTCAAAAACGTTTGATGACCTCACAACTCTAAAATTATACTCTCTCTTTCTGGTTGCTGTGGGCAGGTGTTGAATACTTTCTAAGAGAACTTCTGTACATCTTTTTGTGTCTGAATTGCTTGCTAATTCTAAAGTATATTTTTTATAAAGGTAACAATTGTATATCAATCATTAGCTCAAAGCTGGTATCCAAAATTCACAACATATTCTCCCTCCACCCTTGTGTGTCAGGCATAAACAAAAGATAAAGAAAAGAAAAGAAGAAAAAAGAGAATTATCCCTACTCCCTAGATACCCCTTTCACCTTCATAAGGACCCTAAAATGTCTACAATAGCCACAGGGTCATCTATATACTCTGAACTACACCAATAGCAAAAAATGATAATGCAGTTCATTTTAATGTTGTGCAGAGGGTTGTCTTGTTATCAAAATTCCTAGAATTCCTTTCTTTCCATATGGTCCACCAAATAACACTTGGGGCAATTTTCCATCTACTCTTGTTTGTGCTGCCACTGCCCTTTCATATTTCAGCTTTCTAAAGCCTATCCTATTCTCCCTTTTTTGTCCAACTTATATTTCTGAAGCTAGTAAACAAATTCCACAACTGGTCAACCACTTTACAATGTAAGAACAAATGATTAGTTGCCTAGCTACCTGCTAATGAAAACAACATCTTGGGCACATTTGTGTTCCCCTCTTCATAAGA